ATTAGTAATTCTTGGGTGAACTAAGACATTTATCCGAAAAATTATGTGCACTTGATAATCCCAGTACGTTTCATTTATGGATTACAATGAGATTGTAAGATCATGGCTTGTTGTAGATCAAATCAGACACTACCCGCAATGTCGTCAAATGCGCCATTAAGGCCACGTACGTACGTGACCGTATTACCCCCTTTTCGAGGGGCGTAGCCCAGCAAGCGTGAGAACTGTGAAAAATGGTTATTATCATTTTTTGGTCAATACAGAGATTTTCTGAAAAATATTTAATATGGAAACACTGGTTAAACAAAAATGTATCTCAGGAGTGGTTGAGCATCTTTATCCTTTTATCAATCACAAGTGCCACAATGCTGTAACAAAATGTTCGGATTCAATTGACAAATGCAAGGATTTCAGTAGCATATACTATTATCAGATATTCTGTTTTGTCACTGATAATACTTTTGATGGAACAGGGACCCAATTCAAATCATTTTATTTACAAAGTGCAGCGGTGCCTATCGATTGTCATATTCTTTTCTTCTTGCTTGCCATTCTGTTGCACTGTATGCCTGCATAATATGTCATGTTAATAGTGAATGCGAGTTATATTTGAAACGGTACATGCATATCAATCACTGCCAAATGCGCAGTCATTTGAATTTGGACGCTTTGCGACTCGGCGCCATCTTGACTCGTCTGAGGCTCAAATTAGCTGTAGATATTGATCAATTAATCTTCTTCCGACAAAGTTTCATTATCGAAGGAGTTTCTACATTGTCAACGTTCTTTTGGAATTCAATACAACTATTACGAAGGTAAGAGTAGCAGATGAGGCCTAGAATGGGTGAGATTGTATTGTTTATCGCTTTGATAGAGTATGACAAATTTGGGATTTTAAACGCGGAAGTGAGATAAAAATGTAAAAGAGAAAAACACGAATGTATGTGGGTAGACTATGTAGTTTGGGGTGTATTTCTAAGTTTGTGTGAAAAGGTGTTAGAAGCAACAGATGGACAAAATTAGGTAATATTAGTTCATGATGTGGATGAAACGGAATGAAGCAGTGTATTTACTTCTATTTTGTCTATTTAATCTGCGGTTTTAAAGCTAAGTATGTAGTATATCCCCTGTTTCTCTTTCCTCACCCCCTCTGCTTTATATCTATCTTTGCTTCTCTATATATATATCTCTCTCTCTCTCTCTTCCCCCTCGTGTATAAACATGTATTTCTCATCATCTCGATGCCAATGGTTTTACATATAAAGGAGCCTGGTTTAATATTTAAGATTTTCTGCTTTCCTTCATAGCAACTTATATTAGGGATATATTTCCCTAAAAATACCTATAACTATCAATACTTACTACTTGCTCTCAACTTCTGAGAGGTTTACTAATTATATAAAAAGGGTCACAAAATAAACATTAACATTGTAACATGCAATACTCTTCTGGCGTGACACTTGACCATCAAGTGTCATTGATGATAGTAAGGCTTTAATGCTGCTACACAGCAAGCCTTTCATATTATTCCAAGTATTTTTATATAAGATTTATCTTATTAAACTGTTTTTGGATGATAACTATGTCTGGTTTTGCATAATACTTTTTAAGGTAAAGTACGCATATTCTTATACACCTTTTTTATTAATCTCAGAAGTATTCAGACAATCTCGTTTGTAACCTTAAATGTCATCCAAGGTTAATGTTGTTGTTGATGTTTTTACAGCTCTTATGCATTATAAACATTATCATTTATTAGTACTTTAGTCATATTAGTATTTGTTATATCGTCGGTGGGGTGACAAAACCTCGTATCTCAAAAAATCATGAATTTTCAGGAGAGCGAAAAAAAATTCCTGTCTCAATAAATTTAGTGCTGTGACACCGTCCTTTCTTTTTAAAACTGGAATATTTATACAATTTTTAATGTCATTGTTGAAATACAGTAAAATAATTGTTTTTATATTTGAAAGTGAGTTACGAGGTTTTTGCTTTTATCTACATTGAGATACGAGTTGTTAGTTGTTATTCAAATTGAGATACGAGTTCTTACTTTCAACTCTGAATGAGTTACGAGGTTTTGGTTGAATAAGTTACGAGGATTTGAATACACTAACTTCGTTCCTGTTAGGCCGTGTGTGAGTTACGAGGAAAAGGAATTACGTATCTTATGTTACGAGGTATTGTCAGTGCAGCTTCAAAGGGGGTTTAAGTTACGAGGTTTAGTTTAAGGGTGTTTGTGTGGATTTGTGAAATACCGAGACAGGAGGCGTTCCATGGATTTATCAGGTGGTGTCGTAAGCCATTAGCTACAAAATTATGCAAAAAAATCTAAATCTCAAAAAATTGAGATACGAGGTTTTGTCACCCCACCGACGATATGTAAACGTTCATCAACCTTGAGAGCCATTTGAATGTCATTATTGATTTGACGGTATGTAAAGGATTCAGATGGAGGAGTTATTCTGTGGTCATTTGTTATTTGGAAAATTGGAAAGTGATCAGTTGCATCACAAAACAGAATACTAGGAATTAAACTGGCACACACATTATGTTTATAGAAAAACTTTCGTCAATCAGATATGCAGACCTCTTAGTACCATGGTACGAGGCAGAACAAAATGTGAATAAATTATACTAACAAAATCATTACCATTATTTTGCATATTCTTCACATGGTTAATGTTAAAACCAATCATATTAATCTAGTCTATATTAAATTAAATATTTAAATGTTTGATTTTTTTTTTTTTTTAATATCATTTTAACTACTATTGGCTCGCCAATTTTATCAATTATTTCAGTTAAAAAAAGATTAAAGATCATCTGAATGCGTCCTGGTGGCACCTCTAACAGTAATGTCAAGATAATCTATAATTAACATAGCAACACCACCATCCCTTCCACCGGTACGTTCGGATGGGATAAAAGTGTAACCTTGTTTCTTGAACAATAATAAAGTATTTCCATGTATCCATGTTCCATAGAAAGCTAGAGAATGGAAACTCAACGGTATACAAATATTCATCACACTGTGTGCGTAATATGTCCTAATTTGGAATTAAACTCATCTCAAATGATATTTGTTATACTCCTGAAAGTTACTTTTTACAAGCTTCATTACAACATTGATACCCTTGATAAATTTAATGTTAGTAATATATTTCAAGGTAAATAAATTTGACAAACGATATGAACATAATTGAGACTTGCATTTGCAGGTACTCAGGCGTACCGGAAGCAGTTTGGGATTTGCGGGCAAACATTCAAGGGGGCTCACTTTTTAGGAGGCAGTGGCGTAACGAGCAAAAACTTGTTTTGTTGTTTGGGGAGGGGGGGGGGTGCAGAAGAAAAATCTGCATCATCACAGGTTTTATATGTTATATACAAGCCCCGCGTAACGTTTTGCAAAGTGGATCAGGTAGAGCGTAGCGAGCAAAAGGAGGGCAGCGTGAATTTGCGTGGGATCCAGGGGTTTTGCCTCGTCCTGGGCCAAGGGGCGGAGCCCCGGAAGCTCAAGTGTTTAAGGCATTTAGTTATGGTCAGTTAAGCGTATTTAGATACCTTATTTGTAACACTGGCAGGTCTAAAATCAGGGGTTTTAGACATTTGATTAAGGTCAGGTGAGCATCCAAGGGCCTACTACCTTAGAGCCCCTGGCGAGCCGTTTTCTAAAATTGGTCTGATGTCGGCCTGACGTCAGTTTGTCGACCGCGATATTGCCGATGACTGCCGACAGCGATATTGGCCGATGACTGCCGACATCGGCCCGAAATCAGCTTACTACCTGACTATTGACTTATCGTCGTAGTGAGCTTCCTCACCGCCGGCTTAGCAGGCAGGGAGCACCCGGCTTCCTCCCCTCTGCTCTGCCTTTAGCGGCTGTACTTACTGCGGCCAGAATAACACAGTTTCAACTAATGAACCTCTGATAATAATAAATATATACTGCTCTGGTTGGCAAAGGGAAACCAATACAATACAAACCTTACCTTGGGGTGGGTAGGGGGATAAGTTAGTGATACGGCACCATGAAGCTTTCTCCTTCTGTGTATAAGTCTTCAGACGTTAAAGGATTTGCTATTACATTGCTAGGTGTTTTGAGGCTGGGTTCAACTTTCCTGGCGAGGAGGTGGTACCGACAAATTGCACCCTTTTTTTTATTTGGGGGGGGGGGGGGACGGGCAACGTAGTATGCGTGCACTTATTATACGCCATATTGAACAAACATGATTTAGTAATTCTTGGGTGAAACAAGACATTTATCCGAAAAATTATTTTACGCCATATTGAACATACTTGATTAGTAATTCTTGGGTGAACTAAGACATTTATCCGAAAAATTATGTGCACTTGATAATCCCAGTACGTTTCATTTATGGATTACAATGAGATTGTAAGATCATGGCTTGTTGTAGAACAAATCAGACACTGCCCGCAATGTCGTCAAATGCGTCATTAAGGCCACGTGACCGTATTACCCCCTTTTCGAGGGGCGTAGCCCAGCAAGCGTGAGAACTGTGAAAAATTGTTATTATCTTTTTTTGGTCAATACAGAGATTTTCTGAAAAATATTTAATATGAAAACACTGGTAACAAAAATGTATCTCAGGAGTGGTTGAGCATCTTTATCCTTTTATCAATCACAAGTGCCACAATGCTGTAACAAAATGTTCGGATTCAATTGACAAATGCAAGGATTTCAGTAGCATAATTATACTATTATCAGATATTCTGTTTTTTCACTGATAATACTTTTGATGGAACAGGGACCCAATTCAAATCATTTTATTTACAAAGTGCAGCGGTGCCTATCGATTGTCATATTCTTTTCTTCTTGCTTGCCATTATGTTGCACTGTATGCCTGCATAATATGTCATGTTAATAGTGAATGCGAGTTATATTTGAAACGGTACATGCATATCAATCACTGCCAAATGCGTAGTCATTTGAATTTGGACGCTTTGCGACTCGGCGCCATCTTGACTCGTCTGAGGCTCAAATTAGCTGTAGATATTGATCAATTAATCTTCTTCCGACAAAGTTTCATTATCGAAGGAGTTTCTACATTGTCAACGTTCTTTTGGAATTCAATACAACTATTACGAAGGTAAGAGTAGCAGATGAGGCCTAGAATGGGTGAGATTGTATTGTTTATCGCTTTGATAGAGTATGACAAATTTGGGATTTTAAACGCGGAAGTGAGATAAAAATGTAAAAGAGAAAAACACGAATGTATGTGGGTAGACTATGTAGTTTGGGGTGTATTTCTAAGTTTGTGTGAAAAGGTGTTAGAAGCAACAGATGGACAAAATTAGGTAATATTAGTTCATGATGTGGATGAAACGGAATGAAGCAGTGTATTTACTTCTATTTTGTCTATTTAATCTGCGGTTTTAAAGCTAAGTATGTAGTATATCCCCTGTTTCTCTTTCCTCACCCCCTCTGCTTTATATCTATCTTTGCTTCTCTATATATATATATCTCTCTCTCTCTTCCCCTCGTGTGTATACATGTATTTCTCACCATCTCGATGTCAATGGTTTTAAATATAAAGGGGCCTGGTTTAATATTTAAGATTTTCTGCTTTCCTTCATAGCAACTTATATTAGGGATATATTTCCCTAAAAATACCTATAACTATCAATACTTACTACTTGCTCTCAACTTCTGAGAGGTTTACTAATTATATAAAAAGGGTCACAAAATAAACATTAACATTGTAACATGCAATACTCTTCTGGCGTGACACTTGACCATCAAGTGTCATTGATGATAGTAAGGCTTTAATGCTGCTACACAGCAAGCCTTTCATATTATTCCAAGTATTTTTATATAAGATTTATCTTATTAAACTGTTTTTGGATGATAACTATGTCTGGTTTTGCATAATACTTTTTAAAGTAAAGTACGCATATTCTTATACACCTTTTTTATTAATCTCAGAAGTATTCAGACAATCTCGTTTGTTACCTTAAATGTCATCCAAGGTTAATGTTGTTGTTGATGTTTTTACAGCTCTTATGCATTATAAACATTATCATTTATTAGTACTTTAGTCATATTAGTATTTGTTATATCGTCGGTGGGGTGACAAAACCTCGTATCTCAAAAATCATGAATTTTCAGGAGAGCGAAAAAACTTTCCTGTCTCAATAAATTTAGTGCTGTGACACCGTCCTTTCTTTTTAAAACTGGAATATTTATACAAGTTTTAATGTCATTGTTGAAATACAGTAAAATAATTGTTTTTTTATATTTGAAAGTGAGTTACGAGGTTTTTGCTTTTATCTACATTGAGATACGAGTTTTTAGTTGTTATTCAAATTGAGATACGAGTTCTTACTTTCAACTCTGAATGAGTTACGAGGTTTTGGTTGAATAAGTTACGAGGATTTGAATACACTAACTTCGTTCCTGTTAGGCCGTGTGTGAGTTACGAGGAAAAGGAATTACGTATCTTATGTTACGAGGTATTGTCAGTGCAGCTTCAAAGGGGGTTTAAGTTACGAGGTTTAGTTTAAGGGTGTTTGTGTGGATTTGTGAAATACCGAGACAGGAGGCGTTCCATGGATTTATCAGGTGGTGTCGTAAGCCATTAGCTACAAAATTATGCAAAAAAATCTAAATCTCAAAAAATTGAGATACGAGGTTTTGTCACCCCACCGACGATATGTAAACGTTCATCAACCTTGAGAGCCATTTGAATGTCATTATTGATTTGACGGTATGTAAAGGATTCAGATGGAGGAGTTATTCTGTGGTCATTTGTTATTTGGAAAATTGGAAAGTGATCAGTTGCATCACAATACAGAATACTAGGAGTTAAACTGGCACACACATTATGTTTATAGAAAAACTTTTGTCAATCAGATATGCAGACCTCTTAGTTACCATGGTACGAGGCAGAACAAAATGTGAATAAATTATACTAACAAAATCATTACCATTATTTTGCATATTCTTCACATGGTTAATGTTAAAACCAATCATATTAATCTAGTCTATATTAAATTAAATATTTAAATGTTTGATTTTTTTTTTTAAATATCATTTTAACTACTATTGGCTTGCCAATTTTATCAATTACTTCAGTTAAAAAAAGATTAAAGATCATCTGAATGCGTCCTGGTGGCACCTCTAACAGTAATGTCAAGATAATCTATAATTAACATAGCAACACCACCATCCCTTCCACCGGTACGTTCGGATGGGATAAAAGTGTAACCTTGTTTCTTGAACAATAATAAAGTATTTCCATGTATCCATGTTCCATAGAAAGCTAGAGAATGGAAACTCAACGGTATACAAATATTCATCACACTGTGTGCGTAATATGTCCTAATTTGGAATTAAACTCATCTCAAATGATATGTGTTATACTCCTGAAAGTTACTTTTTACAAGCTTCATTACAACATTGATAGCCTTGATAAATTTAATGTTAGTAATATATTTCAAGGTAAATAAATTTGACAAACGATATGAACATAATTGAGACTTGCATTTGCAGGTACTCAGGCGTACCGGAAGCAGTTTGGGATTTGCGGGCAAACATTCAAGGGGGCTCACTTTTTAGGGGGCAGTGGCGTAACGAGCAAAAACTTGTTTTGTTGTTTGGAGAGGGGGGGGGGGGGGGTGCAGAAGAAAAATTTGCATCATCACAGGTTTTATATGTTATATACAGGCCTCGCGGAACGTTTTGCAAAGTGGATCAGGTAGAGCGTAGCGAGCAAAAGGAGGGCAGCGTGAATTTGCGTGGGGTCCATGGGTTTTGCCTCGGCCTGGGTCAAGGGGCGGAGCCCCCGGAAGCTCAAGTGTTTTAGGTATTTACTTATGCTCAGTTAAGCGTATTTAGATACCTTATTTGTGACACTGGCAGGTCTAAAATCAGGGGTTTTAGACATTTGATTAAGGTCAGGTGAGCATCCAGGGGCCTACTACCTTAGAGCCCCTGGCGAGCCGTTTTCTAAAATTGGTCTGATGTCGGCCCGACGTCAGTTTGGCGACCGCGATATTGCCGATGACTGCCGACAGCGATATTGGCCGATGACTGCCGACAACGGCCCGACATCAAATTACTAGCTGGTATATAACTGACCATTGACATATCGTCGTAGTGAGCTTCCTCACCGCTGGCTTGGCGGGCAGGGAGCACCCGGCTTCCTCCCCTCTGATCTGCCTTTAGCGGCTGTACATACTGCGGCCATAATCACACACTTTCAACTAATGAACCTGTGATTAACAAACAAAATTACTGCTCTTGTTGGCAAAGGGAAACCAATACAAATTTTTCTTCTTTCTTTTGCCGGGGGGGGGGGGGGGTACGGCACCGTGAAGCTTTCATATTGCTCCAGTTGTCTCACATTTTCGCCAGCACACACCGTTGCAGGTGTATATGCCATTAGGTATGATGTGTGAACCGGGTGTGCGGAAATGGTGTGTTGGGGAGGGGAAGTAAGAGTGTTCATGTGTGTGGTAATTGTATGTGTGTCAACAAGTAAAGACTTATACATGACAGATGGCTAATCATAAATCTACAATGACGAGTAAACTGTGCACATCACAGTCCACGGACAACGTATATTTCAGATGGCAATCGGCGGATCAGACGACACTTGATAGTGAGTTTGTATGTGAGATTGCTTTGCTAAATATAAAATACAAGAACCTTTTCCATATCTTTAAACTATCATTGATATCTGATAATTAAACAATTAGTAAAAAAAACCTACCAAACTACATAATACAATGAAATACTTGACTAAAAGTAGGGGAGTTTGATGGGGTGCACAATTGCACCCCTCTGTTATTAATCGAATAGTCCATGGTGTTCATGAATATTCATGTTTTTGTATTCATGGTTTTTATACTAAATGGAAAAATTACGGTGGGGGGGGGGGGTTGGCTGAAATAGACATAATGAACAAATCAGAACTGATCTGTGATAAGTCATGCTTGTTATCCTTCGTGCGCTTGACTTATAACCTTATGATCGAGTGGCAAATTGCGTCCAGAGTTCGACTTGTTGCACATGTGCTTTATAGGCAATGGCGAGCTGGCGACCTATTTTTACCAAATTACGGTGGGTAAACTTTCAAAAGTCAATGGGACATGAGGGTTCCAATGAAAGAGCTAGTGATAACGTACATCGGGGTGCTTGTGCTTTTCGTTTAAACAAACAAATGAAATTTTAACCATTTTTTAAAGGTAAAAGTCCATAGGCTAACATGTTTATAGGCTGCTGGACTCTGACGATAGGGGGCGTTGTCAAATGAGACTAAACGGAGCTATATGCTCCTTCTCTGTATAAGTCTGCAGACGTTAAAGGATTTGCTATAACATTGCTAGGTGGATTTTGGGTTTGGGTCCCTAATTCCAGACGAGGAGGTGGTACCAACATATTTACACCTTTTTTGTAATTTTGTATCAAAATACTTGGAATATTATGAAAGGGCATACGTACTATAAGTGCACTATGGGTACGTCAGATTGAACTCACATGATAAGTAATTCTTGGTTGTAAATTAAAGTCGTCAATTTGGAATCGTTACTTATCTTCCTCTTTGACTCTTCAGTAATCAACATGAAGCTTCTGCTCGCATCAATGGCCGTTCTAGCCGTGGCAGCTTACGGCTTAGATCTAGATGCCAATGCGTGTCATCCATGCCCCCAGTTCTGGCTTTTATTCAACGGGAACTGCTACCGTTACTTCGGGGAGCGGGTCACTTGGGAAGAGGCTCGGAATCGCTGCAGGGATCACTATTCCTTGAATGGACGGGCCGATTTAGTATCCATTCACACGGAACAGGAGAACGCCTTCGTATACGACCTTTTTCGTTCTTCTGCAAGCATCACACCGGATCTTGTAAATATGGATGACCTTTTATAGCTTAATAGACTGTTAATTAAAAGAAAATCTAACCTTGGTGGCAAATAACTATATAAGAAATCAGGAAACCCAGAGAAGCAGATTGGTAAAAGTTTGAAAGAAATCGGACAAAAATTGAGAAACTTATGCATTTGTGAAAGTTACAATCGCTATCGTTATGGGTTCTTCAAATTGGCTGAAAGTTAAATAGTGTCTATGTGATGTAGTAGCGGATGACTTTCCCACTTATGCCATCACACAAAATGACTGAAATTTCAATTTTCGAAAAATGTATGACTTGGAACGGTCTTTTCTTTTCAGAGAACCTGTAAATTATATACTCTCCATAATTATATGTTGAGAAGTGCCCAAAGGGTGAAGGTACTTGGGAGAAATAACAGAAATTCAAGTGAACTGTCAAGAGTATTGTTTTTTCCAATGACGCATCATGATAATTCTGTGGGTTACGAGGAACGGGGTTCGGTAACCAGCCGTGCACTAATGTCCTTTTACAAGACATTAATCTTGTTTGCCACTCTCCACCCAGTTATCAATAGGTAGTGAGTGAGTCCTGGTTACGTTGACGGCTCGGCTATAACCAGAGTAATAATGTATTAGTGTCATGAACATCACAGCGTCACGGATGTGGGCGCTATATAAGAAGCCATTATAACATGCAGTTCATAAACAATGATAAATTCACTTTCTTCTGATCTGATTTTAATGATTTTGTTTTAACTGGTTAATTGTTTGTTGTTGTCCTGGACAGAGTGCTCCGCCAACTTATGGGGTTTGGATTGGTGCCTATCAGACAACAAAAGGCTCAACCGGACCTTTCATCTGGTCTGATGGATCCGGTCTAGACTTCGAGCAATGGATGATTGGTCAGCCGTCCAACTGGAAAGGCAACGAGGACTGCGCTCATTTGTGGCGTAGGGACGCAGAAGATGATATCCTCCAGTCGTGGAACGACATGCCCTGTGGAAATGACCAGCCTTTCATTTGTAAGGTGGCCCCAAATTAGAAATTCGAATTCGGCTGTCCCTTGAATTCGAAGCTTCCTTGATGTATCTGTGTGGTTGAGACTACAATTTAAATTCTTTGACATTATTCCGAAATCCTTGGAAACTAGTAGTGCTAGCAGCATAGATTGACTCAATAGGGCTATCATAACGTTCCGAGGGTGTGGCATGGATGACCAATTCTATTTTCCACAGTCCATTAGTCAGTCTATCGTGTTTTCGCTTTATCGCAAGGGACAAATTGACGGTTTGGGAGAAGTTTACTTTTAGTTTTCTTTCTAGTACAGTATACAAAATCCGTCACATTGTTAAACGATTAAGGCTCCGTCATCCCGCCGTATTTTAAATAAACAATCGTTTTTTGTTGGGGGATGTATAGGCACTTCAAGCCCTTAAAGATACATGTTTAAAGAAAATGTCCGGAGGAAATTGGGAAAGGTTAATTACAAAGTATTTGTTAATTGCTGTATACGCTGATGTTACAGAATCATCAAAATGATGGAATTAGAGATTCGATTTTAGTCACGTTCAGTGCTCACATAAATGGCGATATGGGACACACACATGTGCTTGAAACTTTGGTTCAATATTTCAGCTATTTCTCGTAATATTTCAGATCTAAAGGCATTTGCAGAGCGACTCATATCAGATGACATTTTTGCCATGATATTATTCAAACAAAAGTAACACATTAAAAGAATGAGACAAATTAAAAATTCTTATCCCAGTACCAGAACTCTGTCTTCTTTTCACGAGCGAATGCAATGTCAATTAAAAGATGCTAGATCCGTAGTGACTACCTTCAGATATAATTAAGAAGGATACTTTTAATTGGTTTCAGGCTTTTGTCATGGTGATTAACTGTTGTTCTGAAATTCTAGTCATTTACCTTAGCATCCGTAGATAAGAGTGAAATTTAAATTCGCCGTTTTTTTAAAATCAAATATCTTTGCTGTGGAAATCTACAAAATATGATCATACAAATTTTGCTCCTTGAATTTGAGGATCTGTTACTTGAAAAGTCGAATTACTGTAAAATACCACTCAACATATATTTCATCCCCTCTTTCTATGTTTTTAGTGTTCCCTTCCTTTTTCTTATCACATTTCCTGCTACATATTTCTTTTCTACAGTTCGACTAAGCCAACTTTATTTTATGCTTTTATAGCTGGAGTGAATAAATTACAGGCCATATCTCACAATATTTGATTGGGTGTTTGTTTGTTTTTATTTGAGATTATGTGCAAGTTTAACATGAGTGAGGCTAGCCATGAGGACTAAGTATAAAGACAGGGATGTAAAAAGTGAATTGGATACATGTACCTCTTTTGTGTACGAGAGCATTTGTCAATTACTATATGGGTCATAATAAGTTCATTGTTCCCTGTATGAACCTTTTCTGAACTACATACCATGCGCATAGGACTAAATAGTGCCCTTAAATATGATCTTCAGTTGGCAATCATGAGAACTTCAAGCTTAATTAATTCGCTATGGGAGCCATGACCTGCAAGTGTTACCTATCGTTCCTCATATGGAAATGTTTGTTTGGATTTGTCTCATGAAAAAAGTTGACCACAACACACATCGTTGAGTGCAGGGGGCACGGGCACAGAACTGTAAACTACGTAGAATGCTCATCCTAATTAACAATGCACAGATCGACGTGTGGTCGTTGAACTTACTGGGAGATACACTAGAGTAAGTGCACACACCGCCATTTTACTTAGTCCTTAATCTTTTCAGCTCACAAATTTCAGCCTGGCCTGTCGTTGAGGGAAAAAAGCGGCAAACACAACAGAGGACTAACGAAGATGGCGGATATCACGTACAATTAAGCGCTGGCTACATTTTTAGCACCACTATCAGCCTTCTACGTATACTTACAGTTCTGTGGTCAGCGGCCATTGGCTTCATCGGGCAGGTAGTTCCATTATGTGAATGAGTAAATTCCCCAAAAATATATACAATCAATCAAAACATGTTTAATATCAGAAGAAAGCTAACGATGAGTATATTCATTAGCCGCTCACACCAAAGCCGTCTGACCACAATGGAGCGAGTGAGGACTTTGTGCAATTGAAACTCGCTATTCTGCTCATCTCCAACGATTGTGCTGGATTACTATGTTTTTTTCCGACAAAAGTACAGAGAAAGTGCAATCATTCATTTTCCCTTTTTTTTTGTCTTCTATTATTTTCCTCCATCCCCCCTTCCTTTAACCCCCCCCCCCCCCCCCCCCCCCCCAATTTAGAATTTCTTAGCTACATATTTGTCTATTTATTGATTTCTAAGCATACTTTGTTCACGTTTTATTGTAAAACAACGTCTGAGGAACTAACACTTTAACAAGCTCTGCTTCAAGTTAGGTCCTCTTTTCTCGTGCTATTTCCGTTACATAAATCGTTTCATTGCATATTTGTTGTGATATAATTATTTTTGTTTTGTGTTTTGCATGATAAATAAAATCATTTGAATCACCATTTGAAGAAAAAAAAAACTTTCGGATAAATTACGTTGACATCATGAAAATCCTAACCCTAACCCTTAACCCTTACCCTTACAACTTGTCTGAAGAATTATTGTCCTCCTAATGACAATGTTACCTAATGACTCACTTTTTCACTCCAAATGTCCGTCCGTTAATGTGACGACATACAGAAAGATATATATTTTTAAAAAATAGGCCTTCTATGACAAATAAAACGTACAAATGTTATTAAAGAGGACACCAAATTGTCCTCCTAATGACAATATCTACTTAATGACTCACCTTTTTACTCTAAATATCCGTCTTATGACGCCTTGAGTAATATATATATATATATATATATATATATGTATTTATATATATTGCCAGGGAATTCATACACTAAAATATGATGTATTATAATTATACCTTTAGATCGGTTCAGTTTGTTTGATTATCATTTCGCAGCGTCAGCTGAATTACGTGACATTTTGCAATCAATTTAAAAATAACATCACATTTCATTTATAAACAACATATTTCATAACACACTGCAAATGTAAATAAAAAATAGATACTATACATGTAAAATCATTAATATTAGTTAATCTGAGAACATAAATACTTACAGTTTTCTTAGCCTATTTCCAGAAAATTTCTTATGATAGCTCGTCTGTAGTTGAAGAAGCATTTGCGTTTGTTTTGAGAACAAATATAATTCATGAATTTCATTAAAAGAAAGAAAAAATAAAACATGGATGGAATACTTTTCAACTTTGATCAAGAACCACTTATTTTTATACTTATTTACATACTTATCTTTGCATATTTCATATCATAATTTCAGGCTACATAATAATATTTACCTTGTTATATAAATTAATTTGGTCAGGAGAACGAAAGAAATATTAGAAAATACCAAACATGTACAAATGTAGTCTCAGGCATTATTCGTTATCATATCTATTCATTATTCATCATTATTATCTATTATTATTCATTTATTATTTTCCCCTCTCACACAACCAATTGATTTTATTTATAAAGGCAATTAGTCAAGAATGCGACGGGGCTGTTCTGGTACCGTTTGGTCCTGGCATGAACATTTTTGTAATTTCTGCTTGTACGGAGATTCAAGGTATGAGTTGTATCGTTGACTGGGAACAATTCGGAGTACCTTTGCTACTGCAAATATGCGACGGCAAACTTTGTACTAAGGTCATGCCTTCTCTTTTCCAAAGTTTCCATCGTCGTTTTCCTGAGAGCATTTTCATAAGACTCATAATGAGGGCCAAGAACAATCCTCATCGCTCTCTTCCGTATCTTTTCCAGGTTACTGGTCTGCTGCTTGGTGAGTCCATAGTGCCACACCGGTGCCGCGTATTCAAGAGCTGGCCGCACGTATTCATGAGGGATTCTGAACTTTTTCAATCTACTCAAAATGTGTACTCTTTGCTTGCTCTTTGACATCATCTCTTTAACCTGCTTGTCATCCCTTTTCTCTTTTTTTCTTTCTCCTCCCCCTTTTCTCTCTTCTCGTTTCTTTCTTTCTCGTTCTCTCTCTCGTTCTCTCTCTCCCTCTCTTTTTACCACCCCTATCTCTGAGAAAAGTAAAGAAGAATTATTTGCTCGTATCTCTCTTCAGTTCGTCAGAGATCTTAAGATGATCAAGCCAATTATTATGCGCATAGATTGGCTAACTCTGCTTTAGTTGAAGATAATCTAATGCACATTATTTGTGCTTTCTCGACAAAACAATACGGAATCTTTGTTTACACGGCTCCCAGCGATAACTTAAAAGGACGCCCTCTGATGAAAGCAAACAAATTAAATATTAATATGATAGTATCGATGTAACATTTCTATTAGTTATACTGAATTTATCCGGTTGAAGAAAGAAGCGTATAATGCCAGGTAAGGGCAGTTTCTATCTACGCGCATTCCGATCTAACCAGAAAAAAAGGCCGTGAAAAAGTTCATCGAACTCTGGCTAATTAGGTCACCGCAAAGTATTGTGGGACTGCTAGGTCAACCCGGGATTGTAGTGTCGCGCGCGTCGGGGTAAAACATTCCGATCACGTGATAACTCCTATTTCCGGTTTCTCCCCGGTATGTGCACTCAATCGGAACGGGGTGTGTTTCTACCTACGTTATCCATTTAGCTTCCCCTGCATTATCCTTCTAAAAGAAGAATAATTTTGCCGGTGAACGCGTAAAAGCTCTCCCCGTCATTACCCGGATAATGCCGGAGAAAGTGTGTTTCAATTAGAAAAAAATTATCCCTTATCGGCCATTAACCGGATAATGGCTTTAGATAGAAACACGCCATAAGTGGAAACAAAAAAGGGTTTCTTAGCGTAGAAGAAAAAAAGATAAAGAGTATAAGTGAGAAAGAAGAGAGAGAAAACGAGGAGAGAAAGAAGAGGAGGGATGGAAGAAGAAAACAAAACAGATAGTAGCTGACTTTAGTATAGTTGGAAAACATCAGGTTTTAGGACAAGGATTTTCCAGCAATATATATAATATATGCATATGTGTTTTTTATAGGAAAAAACAAAAATAAAAGCACTTCTAGTAAAGGCTCTTTGGGGACAAAGCAGAAAACACTGTTATGTGCTTTTTTATATGATTAAAATGGATACTGCCAGTGAAAAAGTTGCAAATGGTATGAAAACACATGACAACTTGCGTAGCTTAGGTACCATGTAAGGCCCCCCCCCCCCCGCCCCATCGGAAGACGAAAAAAGAAGAAAGGGCAAAGAGAGGAGAGATAGACGGGTAGAGGGGGAGAGAGAAAGAAAAAAAGGAAGAGAGAGAAAGAGGTTGTAGGGGAGGGAGAGTAGATGGAAGAGTGAAATATCGATTTTAAATTGTCCTTAGGATTTGTGAAAATTCGTGAAAATGCAACGGCATATTTTTCTCTTTTTTTATTTAAACCGCCAAGAGCATTGCTTTTTTCTCCAAAGACACATCATGTTTAATTGTGTGGATTACAAGAAACGGGATATGTTATCAAGGATCATCTTCGTCATCGTTTCTATCTGTACATGAATCTGGATGTAAGTACTGCGTCCACATCATACGTTGTCGTTATGTGTAATGTTTTCTCGATTCATTAGCATGTCGGGCTACTCTCTGTGGAGCTTCTCAGTCGTCAGAAGAAAGATTTTTTTTTTTAAGTATGCATCAAATTTGTAAACAAGTCCATTCAAATGCAAGACCATTCGCACCTTATGACTAATGCTAAACAAAGACAATGATCTAGGCCCTAATTTCATTAGACTTGTTATCAATTACAAGTGTTAAAATGCTGTAACACATTTATTCACAGACAATAATGACAAATGCAAGGATTTCAGTAGCATATACTATTATAATATATTCTACTTTGTGACTGATAAGACTTTGTATGAAACAGGGACCCAATGGAAGTCTGCAGTTATTCACATTCATATCATTTACAAAAGTGCAACGGTGCCTATTAAGTGTCGTATTCTTTTCTTCTTGCTTGCCATTCTTTCGCACATGCATGCCTGCATAATGTGAGTTGTATTTGAAACTGTTATCACTGCCAAATGCGCAGTAGTTTGAAGTTGGACGATATGCGACTCGGCGCCATCTTAATTGACTCGTCTGCAGCTCAAATTAGGAGTAGATATTGATGATTTAACCTTCTTCCGACAAAGTTGCTATTATCGAAGGAGTTTCTACGTTGTCAACGTTCTTTTGTTATTTGTTATTACGAAGGTTACAATAGCTGACGTCTAGCTTGGGTGAGATTGTATTGTGTGTCTATGAACAATTTGGAATTTTAAAAACGGAAGTGAGATAAAAATGTAAAGGAGAATAAACGAGTGTATATGGGTAGATTAGGTAGTTTAGGGTGTATTTCTAAGTTTGTGAGAAGTGTTAAAGGCAAACAGGAGGAGAAAAGAAGATGATATCATTTATGATGTGGACGAAGCGGAATGAAGCAGTATATTTTACTTCTATGTTCTTCTATATAAACTGAGGCTTTAAAGCTAAGTATGTAGTAGACCCCTCTTTCTCTTCCCCCTCTGCTTTATATATCTCTTTGTTTTTCCCTCTCTCTTTCCCTCGTGTGTATACATGTATTTCTGATCAATCAAGCAATTTAACATAGAATTAGTTTTTAATGCAGGGACGATGGCGTACTTCTTTTATAAAAGCATATGAATTTTGTGGGTTGGATACGCCTTATAACAATACAATATAGATATATAAGAACAACAAGAAGAATATAACAAGAAAGTAAAAGAATAGAAAGGGGAAGGGGTTATCAATATAACCAGTGAAAATAAGAATTTTAATTATTTTTTCTCCTTTTCTTCTACTCTGTCTCGGCTGGGGGAGAGCAGATAAGATCCGTTCTCAGGATATTACTTGAAACATCAAGTAGCATAAGTATCAAAAAGCGAAAGGCTTAGTCACAGTCAGCGGGTTACGAAAACGATAACAATGTGCTGATTGGGGTGGTTGATATTGCTGTCACTAATATTCTTTGGGGGGGGGGCGGGAGTATTAATACAACTGGTAAAAATAAATACTTGTAGACTTTTTTCCCCTTTTTATTTTAATCTGTCTCGGCTCGGGAAGAGCAGATTAGATCCGTTTTAATAATGTTATACAAATTTCATTAATAGTTAAAGGTAAATATAATCGAGAGTATATTTGCAATTATGAACATGATCATAGTGGCTTTCAACACATTAAGCTCGGGCAACTTCACAGCGCGAACATGATAAGAAATGATTATCAAACGTAGAAATCTTGTTCAGAATAGCTTGTCATGATTTGGATATTTTCTTATTTTTACCGGTTTTATTAATACTCCCGCCCCCCAAAGAATATTAGTGACAGCAATACAATCAACCAGTCCATTAGCGAATATACAGGTAGATTAAGCTCAGTGTACAGAGGGATAACACATAGTAATGTGTGCACTGAAGAAGCATTGGGTAGAGTTGGGAATTTCCTCCATAAAACAGATCCATGAGTCATGACACTGCATGGTTCAATGAATCTCACTCAGTCACAGCGCATTGTCAGCCAGTGCAATGCAGATACACAAACGTAACAATGGCAATGAAACCCCCAGTGCATTGGTGCGGTCTCAGTCCTAGTCATGGCGTGATATATGACGTCATAACTCTCTATGCTAATAGAGTGTCGCCAAATGTGATTGAATGAAAAAGATTAATCTTCTTACTTTTTCAAGGTTTCCGACGAACTTTTAGACCAGCTTAATTTTGTGTGGACCAAGGAAATGGTTGTTTGCTTCATGAAAGACGATCCAAACTTACCATATCTTACCATCGGTGGAAATCAAGTAGAGAGGGTTCAGGAAGTTAAGCTACTCGGTTTGTACCTCAATAACAAACTTAACTGGGATACCCACGTGAAAGAAACCTACACTAAAGCAGCAAAACGCTTGTACCTTCTTGTTCAATTACGAAGGGCAGGTTTAAATCAGATTGATATGTGCAGATACTATGTGGCATGCATTAGATCGGTGTTAGAGTATGCTTGCCTAGTATTTCATGGAGGTCTGACCAAAGAACAATCCGAAATGTTAGAGTCAATCCAAAAAAGGGCAGTTAGAATTATTTCACCTGGACTATCATAATCTGACGCCCCTGTATATCTTAACCTCCAATCCCTTTCTGAACGTAGACAAAAACTATGCCTTAATTTGTTTACCCAAATTCGTAACCCCAGTCATATGCTAAATCATCTTCTTCCTGCTCCAAGAGAAACAAGGTACTCTCTTCGGAACAGCAAAGACCTGTACCCTCCCAAATGCAAAACTAATAGATACAAAAATAGATTCATACCCTGGTGTCTGTTTAATCTACAATGATCTTGCCAAATTTAATGTATTTTGATTGTCCTTTTTATTGAGTATATTCTCGTTAATCAAATGTAATAATTTTAATAAGAAGACATCAATCCTATTTTACATATTTGTGACTATCATACGACACCGTTTTATTTGTATCTTCAAACGTTGTACAGGGTATTAAATTTAATTAATAATCATTATTGCCAATTTTATATTGAATTAAAGTACCGTGTAGACATTTTACTTAAAATTGCACACTTGTTTATTACATGTATTTTAAAATAATTTAGAATGTAACAAATTTAATACCAATTGAATTTGACAGGATATTTTTTTTTTTTTTTTTTATTTTTTTTTTACGGATATTGCATTATAACACCACTCAATTTGGGTTTACTGTCTCTCTCTCTTTCTTTCAAAATCTTTCTCAATTTTAATTGTTGAACAATACGTTGATGTCAGTTGATATATGATTATTGGTCCTGTGAAGTCCCATGTACCTTATAATTGGGTTTAAATGTTATTTTACATATTTGTCATTATTATACGACACCGGTTTATTAGTATCAAACTGGGTGGTACTTATATTCAACCTTTTTACAGGGTATTAAATTTAATTATTAATAATTATTGCCAATTTTATATTGAATTAAAGTGCCGTGTAAACGTTTTACTTAAATTACACATTTGCTTATTATATGAATTTCAAAATAATTTAGAATGTAACAAATTTAATACCAATTGAATTTGACTGGATATATTTTTAGGAATAATGCATTATTACCATCACTCAATTTGGGTTTACTGTCTCTCTCTTTCTTTCATCATCTTTCTCAATTTTAATTGTTGAACAATACGTTGATGTCAGTTGATATATGATTACTGGTCCTGTGAAGTCCTATGTACCTTACAATTATGTTTAAATGCGATTGCTCTTGAGTGCTTTTTTTTTTCTTCTTTTTTTCTTCTTTTCATATCTATGTATTTAAAGTGTCAATTTATACAGTTTTATTGTACAAAGTATATATACATATAACTATATTGTGAACCATTTATATGCCTGCCTTTTTTACTGTATGAAATGCAACTCATGGTTGCAATAAATGAATGATTTAATATGACAGAGAGGGATAAATTTCGCATTGGAAAGTGAAAACGCTTTATGCGTAGGGTAATCCGTTGCTGGGATACAGAGTCTCAAACACGGGGTTATCGATTATGCTTCCTGCTTCGAATTGTGCAAGTACGTGCATTGCTATGGAAGGGTTGGTGTCATAATTCACTTGAAATTCTTTCTTTCGAGGCCATTTCCGACGCAAATACTTAAAATTATTTTCTCATATTCTTGAAAAATACAAGAACAAAATATAGACAATAGAAAATACCGTTCGCGCCAGCCTTGTATTTTGCAGCATTGCAAAGTTACACCAATATCTTTGACAAAAGAACGGTTTTTGAAGCTTGTGCACATTGGCGCGCGCGAGCATGCGTTCGAGACTCACCAAAAGACACTACTTTTCCATATGAACTTATCTAGAATATTCAGCGGCGGACAGAGAATTTCTTGCCGGGGGCGAGGAAGAAGTCCTCAAATCTCTTACGAACAGAAGAAAAGATGCCTTTGTTAATTAAGATTTTTTTTTTGTTTCTGAAGAAAACCGTCACCCTTACTCCTTTTCAGTATGAGTCTGCAGACATTAAAGCCCCACTGTCCTACTTGTAGCTACTTGCTCCCTCTATATAAAAACTTCCCAAATCAGTGCCTGTTGGTCCGCCAATGTCCTCTTTTTCTTATGTTAGTTAAGAGCTGAGTTAATGAGACAGCCACCTGTCAGTGACCTCGCTGTGTGGTCTAATCCCTTCTGGCCCAGTAGTATTCACGGTCTTTAAAGGATTGGCTATTACATTGCTAGGTGCTCAGTGAGGTTTGGTCCAAAATTCCTGGCGATGAGGTTGGGGCAATGTCATTAGTAAAATTATGGTACGCTAGATTAAAGGTAATACAAAGTTTTGGTATGGGGTCATGAATTTGGTTCAAATGAATATATTGGAAGCATATGCGATCCTACAATATTCAATGATCGTTGTCGCGGTTGAAATCGATTCTAAAGTTATGAAATTATAAATAATAAACTCTTTAAGTTGTATAGCTCCCTCTCAAGGTCAAGATATTAATTAAGCTATAAAACAATGTTTCTTGACTAAAATCGACCGGTTAGCTATTCCCGTTTGGAAATGATATACCACAACTACATATTCTGAAATGTTCATGGTCGCAGCTACCATTGTATGGCCGTACGGCGCTATTTGAAATTTATCAGAATTTACCGGGAGCATCGGTAAAAAAAAAAAAAAATCTAATTTTTCTCAAAAGCAGAATTGTTTTATGGGCTAAATTTTCTAGTGCTTATATTACATCCACAGGGGCTTCCAAATATATCAAAATTGAAAAGAATCACCACCATCCAATTTTCAAAAATTCCCAAAACTTTGTATTACCTTTAAACATACATGATTGGTCATTTTTTGGTGTACATTAAAGTCGTTAATTTGTAATAGTTTTTCACTTTTCTTCTTTGACTCTCCAGTAATCAACATGAAGCTTCTGCTCGCATCAATGGCCGTTCTAGCCGTGGCAGCTTACGGCTTAGATCTAGATGCCAATGCGTGTCATCCATGCCCCCAGTTCTGGCTTTTATTCAACGGGAACTGCTATCGTTACTTCGGGGAGCGGGTCACTTGGCTAGAGGCTCGGGCTCGCTGCAGGGATCACTATTCCTTGAATGGAAGGGCTGATTTAGTATCCATCCACACGGAACAGGAGAACGCCTTCGCATACGACCTTTTCCGCTCTTCTGCAAGCATCACACCGGGTCTTGTAAATATGAATGACCTACTATAGCTTAGACTGCTAATGAAAACGAAATCTAACCTTGATAGCAAGCAACTCTAGAAGAAATCAGGAAAATCAGAAAAGCACACTGGTGAAAGTTTTAAAGAAATCGGACTAAAATTGAGAAAGTTATGAATTTTTGAAAGCTACAATCATTATCGGTATAGGTTCTTCAAGTTGGACGTAGAAGCGGACAATTTTCCCACTTGTGCCAACGCACAAAATGACTGAAATTTCGATTTTCGAAAAATGTATGACTTTGGATGGTCTTTTATTTTTTGAGGACCTGTATTAATAATATACTCTCCATAATTATATTTTGAATAGTGCCCAAAGGGTGAAGGCATTTGGGATAAAAACAGAAATTAGGGATACTTTTGTACACGACAAATGAGAGAGTTATCCGTCACTACATCACAATCCACTGACAAAATTTACAATGTGAGGTTCGCATAACTGCTGCTGTAGTGATCTCATATTTTAAACATCCAGAACTATTGGACAAATATATTTCAAACTTACGCCATTCTGCTTCTCTGGCTTATCTGCTTTCATTCAAATGAACGTATTACAAGGATTGGATTGCCCTTTAAAGGTACTATGTCCCTTTTGCAGCCAACCTCAAATGCTGTAGAACTTTGCAGGAATTATGAATATGTCATGTAAGTCCTATCTGTGAAATTTAAACGTTAGCAGTGTCCTTATATTCAAATTATGCAAGGAAACCCGTTTACTTGCTAGACTTCACTGTCAGACACTATTGAGTGACTGCATGACTGGCTTTTTTTTCTTCTTTGGTAATTACATACATGGAAAGAGTTGTAAAGGGTACATGAGCATTGTTCTACATCAATAACCCACTTCTTGTGATGGCCAAGATTAAACTGATTGAATCTTTGCGCAGCATAAAACGTATGCCCATTCGGTACAATTTATTGTCTGAAAATCAAGACTATTACTTTTGGGCTCTATAGCCCTAAAGTCGATTTGACAACTATTAGTCGTTATTTTCCCACTTGAAGACATTTTCAAGCCCCACCTTTTTAGGGAAGTTCTAAATTAGTATTATCTTTCAAATGCAGTTGGAATTTAACTTTTTCATTTTTTTGGCCTGCAAATGGGACATAGTACCTTTAATAAAAGTTTCATGGGCATGGTTTAGGTCCGGTTAAGGTGTAAGATTTGTGAACTTTTCCGTCTTTTTTTATGTCAGTTTGGAATGAAGTACAAATGTCCCCTGATAGTACAGCCCTTTCGTGAAAAAAATAGGCATGGGCCTCCCACGTATTGCAACATAAAAAATCGAACTGTTGTAGTATCATGAATATATGGAATCGAAGTTGATGAAAGTGTTGGAGACATTTGGTTGACATTCTTTGTGCTTTCCGAACAAAACAATATTCGCCGTGGTTCAACAATACGCCCTCTGATGAATGCAAAAAAAATGTAACATGTACTAAGTGGAAACAATACATTAGGTTTATTATAGTAGAAGAAAGAGAGATGCAGAGCTTAAGTGTGTTTGTGTGTGTGTGAGAGAGAGAGAGAGAGAGAGAGAGAGAGAGACAGACAGACAGAGGGGAGGGGGTGAGTAAAGAGAGCGGGATATAAAAACAATGAGTGAGAAAGTTAATTTTGCCTTTTTGTGGAGATGGGCCGCCCCCCTGGCGCTCAAGGGGGGGGGGGGGGGGCGGGGTGCGATTTTTGAAATTTTTGAAGGCCCCCCTCCCCAACAAAAAAAGTGCTTACAACCCCCCCCCCCCCCCCCCCCCCCCCTCCCCCCTGAGCGAATTTTCGACCGGCGCAATTTTTAAATTTTCAGGAGCAAAACAATAACGAATTGGCCCCCCCCCCCCCACACCTCCCTAAGAAATCCTGGATCCGCGCCTGCATGAGCATCACAGCGTCACGGATATGAGCGCTATATAAGAAGCCATATTACATTCAGTTGATAAGTAATGATACATTCACTTTTCTTTTTATTTGATTTTTACTGATTTTCTCTTTTTTTTAATGATTTCTTTGTTGTTGTCCTGGACAGGGTGAGCCGCCATACTATGGGGTTTGGATTGGTGCCTACCAGACAACAGAAGGCTCAACCGGACCCTTCATTTGGTCTGATGGATCCGGTCTAGACTTCGAGCAATGGATGATTGGTCAGCCGGACAACTACGGTAACGACGAGGACTGCGCCCATTTGTGGCGTAGGGACGCAGAAGATGATATTCTCCAGCCTTGGAACGACACTCCCTGTGATAAATACGTGATGCCTTCCATTTGTAAGGTGGTCCCAAATTAGAAATCCTAATTCGTCTGTACCCTAAATTCGAAGCTTCCTTGATAAATCTGTATGGATAAGACCATAACTTGAATTCTTTGAAAAAAATCTTGAAAACCTTGGAAACTAGTAGTGCTAGCAGCATAGATTAATTAGGGCTATCATAACGTTCCGAGGGTGTGGCATGGATGACCGATTCTATTTTCCACAGTCCATTAGTCAGTCTATCGTGTTTTCGCTTCATCGCAAGAGACAATTGACGGTTTGGGAGAATTTTACATTAAGGTTTCTTTCTATTTTGGTATACAAACTGCGCCACTATTCAACGGTTAGGTCTCCGTCACAGATGCCAACGCTGTATTATTATTATTTTTTTTTTTTGGGGGGGGGGATGTATAGGCACTTAAAGCCCTTCAAAATACATGTTTAAAGCAAATGTCTGGAGATAATTGGGAAAGGTTTATTACAAAGTATTTGAAAATTGCTGTATACGCTGAGGTTATAGAATCATCAAAATGAGGGAAAAGGATATTCAATTTTAGTCACGTTCAGTGATTACAGTATTGAGTATATGGAACACACACGTGTGGCTTGAAAGTTTATTCCGACACTTTTAGCTATTTCTCGTTTTATTTCACATTTAAAGGCAATTGCAGAGCAATTCATTTCAGAGGACATTTTTGCCGTAATATTATTCAAACTAAAAGAAAGTAACACATTCAAAAGAAATAGAAAAACTCAAAGTTCTCATCCCTGTACCAGCTCTCAGCCTTCTCTTCACAAGTGAGTGTAATGTTAATAAGATGTTAGATCTGTATAAAGTAATTTAACATATAATTAAAAAGGATACTTTTAATTGGTTTTAGAATGTTGTCATGTTCTGATATTTACTTTAGCGTATTGAGATGAGATTGAAATTTATACTCGCCGTTTTTTTTCAAATAAAATATCTTTGCTGTTAAAATCTACAAAATATGATCAGATAATGCTCCTTGAAATTAACGATATGAAAAGGCGAAATACAGTAATATGCCACCGAATGTATCTTTCATCATCTCTATCTTTGTGTGTGTGTATGTTTTCTTTCTTTTTCTTCTAGCATTTACTGCAGCATATTTCCTTTCTATACTGTTCGACTAAATCAACTTTACTTCATGATTTTTAAAGTTGGAGTAAATGAATAACACTGATGCCATATCTAACAATTTTTGTTTGTTTGTTTGTTTTTATTTTCGACTATGTTCAAGGTTAACATGAGTTAGTCTAGTCATGAGGACTAAGTATAAAGAGAGGGATGTATACAAATGAATTGGATACATGTATTTCGTTTGTGTACGAGAGCATTTGCCAAGTATTTTATGGGTCATCTTAAATTCGATGTTCCCTGCATGATTCACTTATTTCGGACTTGATTTCATGCGTTTAGGACTAAAGACTTCCTTTTAAACTAGATCTTGACTATCATAAAAACTTCAAGCGAAAAAAAATTGTTGTTATGGGAGCCATGTCCTGCATATTATACCCATCGTTCCCTAGTACCCCAGACAGGGCTCTGCCCCTGGACCCCATCCGTAAAAACAGAAGTGGATCCCATGACAACAATTTGATGTATATATAAAGTTATCCTTAAGAGAGAGAGAGAGAGAGAGAGAGAGAGAGGGAGTTTAGTGTTTTTATCGATCAAGACGGCTTCTTGAAGGTTCTGATAATTCCGAAGTGCTAAAACTCGAGAGCTATCAGGTCCATGACAGGGGCTCTGTCCCTGCACCCCAAGGGAAAAGGCTCTCTCTTACGCAGTCGCAGTGCGCTTTCCGTATACGTTTGCTTCGTCCCCTCCCCACCCCTTTTTGGAAATCCTGGATCCGGCACTGCAGACAGAGGTAAATAGCCAATAACTTTTGACCATGACATAAGTTAGTAAAACAGGAAATTGCACTTACCAAAGAAAAGAAGGAAGGAAAATTCATCCTTTTAAAAATGACCGTCTACCAATCTGGCAAGCGTTTGTTAAAAATAGTGAAATTTTTCCTTTTAATTTCGAGTAAAATTCAATAGGAATAAAAAGCTATTCCTAGTCTTGTTAAGCAACTGCTAGCAAAAAAGCACGTTTGTGCTTCTACCTGCGAGTATTAATAATTGGTTGGAAAATCTGAACATGCCAGCAAAACGTTACAAAAAACTTTGCAGTCGTACAGGGGGTATTTCAATATTAAAGCGGCGAATGCTTGCAAACGTAGCGAATTTGGGGTTTCCGCCAGGGTTCGTAAAAAGTTGTCATTGTCGCAAAACAATCGTAGGCCTTTGCAAAATAGTCGTAAGCCCTTGCAAACCGTCGGGGTGGTGGGGATTATTCAATATTAAATCGATCAGATTATTGACTAATATGGCATCGGTGACGGTATTTCTTTCGGTAGGCATTATTTAATCAGTAGTTGAGGGATGCATCTAAACTAGCCACAACCCTAGCACTCGCCCTACTTGATGCGGTGTATGGAAAGCATGGGGTGATAAATAGCTGCCGTAACTGCATTACGCTAGTGGCTATAATTTTTAATTTAAACATGCAGCTAATACTGACTGAATCAGGGGCGGCGGAGCAACTTCCAAAGTGTTGGGGGGGGGCACCATAAAAAAGGGCATTTTCTGAAAAAGGGCACCTACAAAGGGAAATCTCAAAGCGAAAATATACAATTTTCTTAGTCGTTGGTATATACCCCTACATTGTGATTACAATATCAGGTATGATTTCAATATTTGTTTCTCTTTATAAATTATACAAGATATTGCTTTAAAGGGATAGTAGAGTTCTGTTGCAGAGGGCGCTACACAAAATAATTTGTTTGTGAGATAATGAAAAACCGAGTGTCAAATTTGAAAGAAGATACAATTTAAATGACAAAATCATATTTGTTTGATCAAAATCGGCTCGGAGACGGCTTAAATATCCATAAACATAACCATTTATAATATTTGTGTACCAACACAAATATTCGAGAATTTGAAAAAGCCGTTGAATAAACGAAATATCGACTTTTACGTTGTATTTCAACCAATGCCGATGTTGGACTTTTTGGTGGCTTTATCGTGTTAGCTATATATATAAGCACAACCAGCTGGCCCATGTATAGTTAGTGTTAATTAATTAATTAATTAACGGTCACAGTATTTTTATTTTTTTTTAAGTGGAGCTGAATTGGTATGATCGTATTGGCTAAATTTTACACATTTTGGGGTCTAAAATTACCTTAATAGCAATTTTAGGTCCCAAAAGGGCACTAGAAATGTCAAAGATATGAATAAGGGCAATAAGCACGCACTTTTAATGCATTTGCGGTCTGAAAACAGAACTCAACTATCCCATTAAGCATCATACTTTGCAGTCGGGTGTGATGGTCTGAATATTCTTATGTGAGCAGGGCGAAGCAAGTGAGTACAAATTCTCAAATGTGTGAGGTCGCAGTGCGAAAAATTACATCTTTTAAAGAGGAAAAACCCCAATCATGATGGGGTTATAAGCACATTGTCATAACGGACGACTGAAAAGACCTTTGATAAGTAACATAATCATATCATCTATAAATTCGAGCGAGGATAGCGAGCGACATTTGGTGGAAATTGTTCTTGGTCGCTTTAAATTAGGGGCACGTGTAATGATGAGAGGAAAAGGGGACACGTATCGAAAGGGATAGAGACACGTATTAGAAAATAAAAGGTGCACGTGTCAAAATACAAAGGGAAATTATCAGAGGTGAAAATGGGGCACTCAACAGAGATGAAAAAGGGCACTTATGAGAAAGGCAAATTGGCTTTTGTCGACGGGAAATGGGCACCCATCAGAGTTTGATAGGGGCATTTATTAGAGGTGAAAAGGGGCAATCCCTTATTAGAAAGGAAAAGAGGCACGTATCATTGTTAAAAAGGAAATTATCAGAGGTAAAAAGGGGTACATATCGCACCTGAAAAGGGGCACCGACCAGATATTCAATTCAAGAGTTCTTTATTCGCTTTAAAAAGCACATATAAAAAAATAACAAAAAATATACAATATATTCTACAAATAGGCACATTCACAATATATGTAAAGACAAAAAAAACAACATCAACAACAGAATACATGTATAACAGGGTAAGATCAGAGTGTCCATAAATACAAAATAATTTCCTCGCACTCCTCTCGGTTAAGGAAACCCTTACATAAATAATCATCCCTCGAGTTGATCAATTCCTTTACTTGTTCAACTATGCGTATTGTCTCATCATTCACTTGGCATTGCACAGCCCACTGCTTTTGAATTTCATTGTTATCCATGAAGTACTTATCATTTAAGAATCTTATGTTACCTCCCAACACAGAATGAGCTCCATACCTGGCCATTCCAGCTGTATGTGCCACTGTATAATTTTTGGAATTCATAGCTTTCACAACAAAAGATAAACATCTTTTTGCAAACCATAAATCTGGATCCATAACACCTGCTAAATAAGGCAAAAGATGACAGTGTGTCTGCCATGGAATTTTCCAAACCCTTCTTATTGCAACCCGCCATTGTCTACAAATATTATCAAAACATTTATCAAACAGAGGATATAACTGTGAGCCATAGAAACTCGAACAATATTTATGAAACAATATATTTCTTATGTGAGAGTTAGCATATTTGAAATTAAACAAAAACATATTACATTGTCGATTGAAATCTCCAACACACTTTGAGATATCAAAATCATTTATATTCTTAGAAATATCATTCCCTAGATGAGTTACTTTTGATGCAATATCAATATGTCTTCCATTTATCGTGATTCCTGGATCCATAACTGGTTTACCATTACAGCTGAAAACTATTAACTGACTCTTTTCAGGGTTAAACAGAATATCAAATTTAATGGCATAATCTAAACAAGTTTTAATCATTTCTTGAAGAGCAGTCACGCTAGGTGACAGCAGTGTCGAGTCATCTGCATAACCAAATGCTCCTGCAAAAACATTGCCCATAAAGCACCCTATCCCATTGTCACATAACTCTTCTATCAGCCCATCTAGATACAAACAGAACATGCAAGGAGAGATAACTCCACCCTGTTTAACACCATTTTTAACTGTAAAATAATCAGAATATGCATTGTTCCATTTCAACCTTAGCCTTTGATTCTTATACATATTAAGCAATAGCCTGCATATCATTGGGCAGACCCCTTTGCTCAGCATAATGTCAAACAATTTCACATAATTAGCTCTATCAAATGCTTTACTAGCATCTAGCAATAATCCATACACATTACTCCCTTCATGATTAAAGTACGATACAGTTTCTTTAATCATAGCAGTACATAGTGTAGTTGATAACCCTGCATTGAATCCAAACTGTAGGTCATTAGTCTGCAAGTTCCCTTCTTCCCTTTTCATAAATACATAATCCAAAACTTTACCAATGATACTACCAAGTGTTA